TAGCCATGCCAACTGTTAAAATATTGAAATTATTCCATATTCATTGGTAAATAGTAGCTGCCTCAAACCACTCTTCCCCAGCAACCCTGACCTCATCTTCCATCTCCAATGGCCCACATTCTAGTAAGTAAAAGGGTTAAAGCCTTGGCCATACTGTGGGGGAGGCAGAGGGACTGTCTCCTGGGACCCTGTGGGGAGGGGCTGTCTGTTCTGATCTGTCAGTACTGGTACCTCCCTGGATGCTAAATGTTTTGCATTGTTCATTAGGACTGTCTGCTTTGTTGTAGCCAAACAAAATGTTGTACTATTGTAATGTGGTTACTATTGGACAAGCAGATTCCAGGGGGCCAAGCTGAGCAGTGGCTGGAGGCTTATCTCTGGTTCAGACAGATGCAGGGGATTCTAAGGCCAGCCACCCAGCGAGTCTACAGCCTCCCTGAGCTTGAATACAAAAAGCAGCAAACTCACCACCAAGTCCCAGCCTGGTTACCATTTTCAGAAGCACTGAGCCCTTGCTGTGTGTCTGCTCTGAGTGAGGCTCTGTACGAGGAGACTTGCCAGGGGGCACTCCAGACCCAAAGAAGGGCAGTGTGGTCATTTCCAGGGCACAGACCTGGTCAGAGTCCACTTGTTCAAGCCCCAGATCTGCCACTTAATGGCAGTACAGCAAATGACCTAATCTCTCCGTCAGCTTCCTTGTGTGAAAAATCAAAGTCATAACAATAATTCCTAATTCAGGGGGTCGGGGTAAAGGTTAAATTAGATGCAGTATGTAAAGTCCCTAGGAGTAAATAAATTAATGCAAAATCCTTAAAACAGCCCCTGATCCCCACTCCAATGTTATATTGCTAAGTGGCAGCTATTATTTTTATTTACTGTGTGCATTAGAAATTTTGCAAATCTCAGCCAGCTGCAGTGGCTCATGCCTGTAATCCCAAAACTTTGGGAGGCTAAGGCAGGAGGATCACTTGAGCCCAGGAGTTCGAGACCAGCCTGGGCAACATAGTGAGGCCCCCATCTCTACAAAAAAACTTTAAAATTACCCAGGAATGGTGGCGCATGCCTGTAGTCACAGCTACTCGGGAGGCTAAGGCAGGAGGATCGCTGCCCAGGAGGTCGAAGCTACAGTGAACCATGATCGCACCACTGCACTCCAGCCTGGGAGACAGAGTGAGACCCTGTATCAGAAAAAAAAAAAAAAAAAAAAAAAAATTTTCAAATCTCATTGCTTCTCCAATGCCACACACACACACGCCCCCCCCCCCCGCCCACACAACCAGCTTGCTTGATGTTGGAAGGTGGCTTATGATGCCAGCAGAGGGCGCTGGTCTCCTGCAGGCGGCTTGAGCACGCCCTCCCGGGGCTGACAGCCACTGCTCACCAAGAAAGTCCGGCCCCTTCCTGGGCTCCACTCACACAAATACACCATAACCACCACCACCCGCCACCCCCCCCCCCACCCCCACCCCTCCGCCACCCACTTCCTGGAAGAACGATCTTCGCAAATTAAGTTATTGTAAGTTATGTGAACCCCTAGCCTGCAATCGCTGGTGCTAGACTGGCTGTCTGCCTCCTGCCCTTTTGCTTCCCGTTTCAAGAACCAAGTCACCATGAATTTTCTTAATGATACTTTTATTCTCCTGTTTTAGCCACTTTTCTTCTCTTTCTATCTGAGGCAGAGAGTGGTCTTAAGGGAGACAGCGCGCTATTGCAGAAAAGACAGAGGCCTTGAAATTAAACAGAGCCAGGTTTAAATACTGGCTTCACCACTCAACCAGGTAACTGTGGGCAAATGTCTAAAGTCTCTGTGCCTCAGTTTCCTTGTTTGTAAAGTAAAGGTGACAGCAGTATGTGTTTTGTAGAAACATGAGGATCAAATGAGATAAATCATGTAAAGACCTTAATACACAGTGTCATCTATATCCAGGATTAATAAGTGTGAAAAAAATGAAGAATTAAATGCACAGTGGAATGCTGTTTCCACTGAGTGGTGTAAAGAGAAAGTCAGACTGACTGGGTACCAGCCAGGCGGAGGTGCCTTAGCAAGTTTTTCACATCTCTAGTCTTCGATCTTCCTCATCTGCAAAATGGGCACACTAATATGCCATAGAAAATTGACAGTTTTAAGTGTGATAATGTGTATAACAGCCTCTAGTATAACCCTTGGCACATAGTAAACCCATGATAAATGCTAGTTCTATTTCCTTTAGCAGATAAATGAAGGTTTTGACATGTATGAGCTACCATGTAAAAATCCTTTTGGGACGGACACAGTGGCTCATGCCTGTAATTCCAGCACTTTGGAAGGCCAAGGTGGGCAGATCACTTGAGGTCAGGAGTTTGAGACCAGTCTGGCCAACATGGTGAAGACCTGTCTCTAATAAAAATACAAAAAAAAAAAAAAATTAGCCAGGCGTGGCAGCAGGTACCTGTAATCCCAGCTACTTGGGAGGCTGAGGTGGAAGAATTGCTTGAACCTAGTGGGTGGAAGTTGCGGTGAGCCAACATCACACCACTGCACTTCAGCCTAGGCAACAGAGCAAGTCCATCTCAAAAAAAAAAAAAAAAAAAAAAAAAAAGGGCCTTTTGGTGTGGTGGCAGGGATTGTATTTGACAATAATTCTATGTGAGAAGGGCCATGATTAATCTGTAAGTGTTTAGAGAGATTTAAGTATAAGTCAAGTTCATAGAAACCTTCCATTTACCCACAGGTCATTTTTGTTTATTCAGTGATGCAACCATTATTTTACAAGGTCAAAATAAGATATTGACCGCATATTATGTACTATAATAGATACAATAGATATGTTCTAGGTAGTAGAGATACAGCTATGAACAGTACAGTCAAGATCTCTGCCGTCATGGAGCTTACAACTAATGGAGAAGTCAGAAAACAAAACAAAGTAATATGACATGCAGTGCTAGGGAGAAGGCTAGAGCAGGTTAAGGGAAGAGAGGGGTGGAGGGGTTGGATGATAGGAGACAAAGTTGTCAGAGAACACTTGGAAGAGGAGATAACAGAGCATGGCCTGAATAAAGTGAAGATGGAAGCCATGTGATGAGCTGGGGGAAGAGCATTCCGGGAGAGGGAACGGCAAGTGCAAAGGCACAGAGATGAGAAGAAACTGTGTGTTCAGAGAATGGGAAATTAGTATGTAAGACTCAAACAGTAAGTTAGCAGGAGAGTAGGAATAGATTAAGTCTGAGAAGTAAAGTGCCAGATCATCTAGGGTCTTGTAGACCATGGTAAAGATTTTGTCTCTAAGCTCCCCAACACACTAAAGATGGGCCATATAGGCCGGGTGCGGTGGCTCATGCCTGTAATTCCAGCACTTTGGGAGGCTGAGGCAGGCAGATCACTTGAGGTTAGGAGTTCGAGACCAGCCTGGTCAACATGGGGAAACCCCATCTCTACTAAAAATACAAATATTAGCCAGATGTGGTGGTGCACACCTGTAGTCCCAGCTACTTGGGAGGCTGAGGCAGGAGAATCTCTTGAAACTGGGAGGCGGAGGTTTCAGTGAACCAAAATCATGCCGTTGCACTCCAGCCCAAGTGACAGAGGGAGACTGTCTCAAAAACAAAAAATAAACAAAAGTCAAATGTATTAGAGAACTGAGAGGGGTAGATAATTCACTGACACAATACGTACTTATGGAAGACCTACTATAATTTTACAATTTTATAATTTACAATTTATTGAGCACTTAAATGCAGACATTTTGCTACCTGTTGTACATTTATAGTGATCTCACTTCTCATAACAATCCATTAAGGCTAGTACTGTTATTCTTCCCATTGTACACATGAGGAGACAGGCTCAGAGAGATCAAACAGCTGGTAAATAGCACAAAGGTCTATAAGGTTCCAAAGCTCAGAATCTCTGCTATCCTCTCCCACGTGCCAGACACAATTGCATTTGTGTAATCATGACATTCAGTTGCAGGTACTCCTCCTATTTGATCCCAGCCTGAAAACAGGGCACCTGAACCTAGTTGCCCACTGGGAGCAGCTGAGGTGGATGGAGGAAGAGGGATCTAGAACTCTGCACTTCTGTGCAGTCTTCGTGGAGCTGTCCATCAAGGTGCCTGCCCCCCTTAGCTAAAGTGTGGATGTGTTACCTGAGCTCAGCCAGTCAAACCCTTGCTCCAGGGACTTTGACTCATCAAAGAAAACTCTGGTCAAGAAAGGGAAGAAAAACATAGAATTGATTCACTTGCCTGCCTAAACTCTCAAAGCATCTCCACTTTCTGTCCTTTTCTAAGCCTGATTCTCCAGCTTCCTGTTACCTCTGTGAGTTAAACACTAGCCTGCCAATAAAATCTTTTCTGGGTAAAGTTAGCCAGAATTGATTCCTAAGACTAGCAATCAAAGAACCTGCACTGGCAATATCAGGGGAAAAAAATGACACAGTCTTGTAAAGCTAAAGTGAGTGATTCATTCCTTGGATAAATGTGTATTACGCAGGGCCAGGACTAGGATGAAGCAAAGTGAGGCACCCAGGGTACAAATTTAAGGCTTTCATCTTCAGTGTTGTGTGAGTGCAAGATTGACTCTAACAGCCCTCTCTACTATCAAAGTTAATAATAAAAGGAACGGAGAAGATCCTTTCTCTTTCCATAAGAGTATGAAGTGAGTGTCCCAAGTAGGCAGGTAGCATTTGGCACCTTCTGTGCTGTGGCTTTGTCCCCTACCACATCATCATCATCATCACAAGGTCAAGGCTGGGTCCAGCCAGTGAGAAGGAGAAAGAGTAACTCCTGCCAGAGCTTTAGCAATGTTAGTTATGGCTAAGCCTCAACCTCCCCACGCCTCACTTTATTCACCTGTAAAATAGGACTAACAAACAAAAATCATATTTAATTCCAAGATGTTTTGAGGATCAAAGGAAACAACATATGTAAAACTGCTTTGCAGACTGCGCAGTGCCCTATGTCATTACATCGTCTCTTTGCTGAGCATCAGTTTCTCTATCTGTAAACGGACAACTGAATACGCACCTCCCAGGATTGTTGTAAGAATCTGCTAGACGAACGATTAAAGTATAAACTTTGGAATCCAACAGGCATAGCTTGGCATCTTGCTCTGCCCCTCACCAACTGTAAGATCTCGGACCTTCTCTGCGCCTCAGTTTCCTCATCTGCAGCGAAGGGATCACGATGCTCCCTCCACCACAGGGCTGCTGTAAGCATGAAGAGAGACAGCAGGAGTGAGTCCTTGGCGCGGTGCCTGGCCTTGTTCCGATCCGCAGGTGCAGTGACGAATGCCACCTCCCACGGATCCCTTCCAACAGCACAGCTGAGTTGTACCCTTCTGCCTCTGCTCAGCGCCCACGGTCAGCCCTGGGTGCCGGTATAATTAGCTCCAACTCGGTGGTGAGCAGCGCGGCTGCTCACAGCCTCTGACACGACTGTCACCTCCCACTCAGTTCCCCAAACCACAGCTATCCCCACTGTTGAGTGTGCGGTTAAGTGCCCGCTGGGCACAGGGCGGAGTGCCACCAGAGGCCCGCTTAGAGCTCACAACCTATGATTTGACACAGGGAACAAAAGCCTTTTCCTTCACTCTAGGACTGCATACCAAAAAGAAAAAAAAAAAGTTTAGGGGAAAAAGAAAGCTGCCTCTTGGGTTTGTTGGGAAATTTCTTTCCTTTAGACCCTGTAGCCCGCAGGGGAAAGGCGTCCTGTTTCTTTAAGAGGCCTCCACTGGGGGGCGGGGACGGCCGGCGTTTTTCCCCTCTACCGGCAGCTGTGCCCGCCCCTGCTTGAGTGACAGACAAGGAACCCAATTGAAGAAAGAGAATTCAGCGTGACGGCGAGTCGGAGCAATAGGAGCCCGGCCCGGCCTGTGCGGGGCGGGGTCCCAAGAAGGCGGGGCGGGCGGAGGCTGGAGGAGCAGCCGAGGGGAGACCCAGGAGCGGGAGCTGGGCCTAGGTCGGCGCCCTGGTGAGTGAGGGGCGCGCTGGGGGATGGGGCGCGGCAGGCAGTGGAGAAGGGCCTGGCCTGAAAGACGCAGGGAAGAGAGGCCGGGCCGAGCGTTGCGGCCTGCGTCTGCCCGGGTGGCTGAGGGGCTGAGAGGGCGGGCCTGGGCTGGACCGCGCCGGTTCGTCAGGTCAGTGAGGGGTGGCGGCCCCGGCCGGGGCCTTAGGAAGGGAGGCGAGACCGGGTCCTGGACCCAGAAGGGGCGTCGCGTGGCGGAAGAGGGCCGGCCAGGCAGGCAGGCGCGGGGGCTGGGCCGGGCAGCGGTCGGAGGGAGAAGGAGGGAGGCGTTGGGTGGGAAGATCGGGGAAGGAGGGCAAGGAGAGGGTCTGGAAGAAGCCGGAGAACGCTCGGGGCGGACCCGCACGACTTGAAAGCCTGGGGTCATACTCGACCTGGAGTCCGCTGCCCGCGTCCACCAGTTCGCCCTGTGGATCCTGCCGGCTCAGTAGCCCCCCCAGTGCATGTACTTTCCACCTCCTGCGCTCACTCGCTTCAGTTCAGGCCCCTCTCGCTTCCTGCCTGGACAGTTGCAGTGTCCTAAGTGGTCTGGCCGCAGGCACAGGGGCCCCTCTCCTGTCGGCCTCTCACCGTGCCCAGAGAAACCTTTCCTTTTTTTTTGGAAACCTTTTTGAGACGGAGTCTCGCTCTGCCACCCAGGCTGGAGTGCAATGGCGCGATCTCGGCTCACTGCAACCTCCGCCTCCCGGATTCCAGCTATTCTCCTGCCTCAGCCTCCCAAGTAGCTCGGATTACGGGCGCCTGCCACCACGCCCAGCTAATTTTTGTATTTTTAATAGAGACGAGGTTTCACCGTGTTAGGCTGGTCTCGAACTCCTGACCTCAAGTGATCCGCCCGTCTCGGCCTCCCACAGTGCTGGGATTACAGGCGTGAGCCACCGCGCCCAGCCGAGAAATACAGAGCAAACCTGGATACTTAAGGCATGAAACTGGCCCGGCGTCCCACCCCTTTGTAGGGTCAGATCCAGAACCTCACCCAGGCCCTTGATATCTGGTCCCGCTGACCTCTCCTGTCTGTCTATTCGTCCGTCCGCTTGCTCAGTGCTCTCCACACACTGGCCTCTTTCTCTTCCTTCTGCATCGCAAGCTCCTGCCTTCCTTGGGGCCTTTTATTGAGTATTCTTCCTCCCTGGTCTGCTCTTCCTTCCCCGGCTTAGTCTTGTAAACTCTTCTTCATCCTTCAAATCTCCACTTAAGCATCACTTCTGCAGCGAAGGCATCCCTGTCCCTGACTCTTCGACCAGTACCCCACTTTATCACCCTGGGTACTTGTCCTTAGCAACACTTGTACAACTGCAGTTTTACATTTATTTACAAAAGTGTTAATATTTCTCTGCCCATCCCACCAGATTGTAAGGTCCACGAAAAAGATAGTGTCTGGTTTTGCTTCATGTTGTATCTCTAGCATCTCACACAGGGCCAGGCACTATAAATATTTACCAAATAAATAAAGGCAGGGTTTGAATTTGGCAAGAGGAAGGGGATGTGAATGGCGGTCACCGATGTCCTACCTGTAGGGGAATGAAACTGACAATTGGAATGCTTTTTGTGTGCCAGGCCCTATGCTAGAGTGATGCTGCTGTCTAATAGAAATGTAATGTGAGTTATAGATATAATTTTAAATTTTATAGTAGCCACATTAAAAAATGAAACAGCTGAAATTATTTTAGTAATATATTTAACACAATATATTCCAAAATTATATTATAACATAATCAATATAAAATTATTAATGGGATATTTTATGTTCTTGGTTTTTGTACTGTTTTTGAAACCTGGTTTGTATTTTACACTGAGGGCAGCCTGTGCCACTTTTCAAGTGCATAGCAGCCACCTATGGCCAGGGATTGTGGTATTGGGCTGTACAGTGTCACATACTTTATATACCCTCTAGCATATTCTGAGATAACTATTGTTATCTGCACTTTACTGCTATCAATAGTGAAGTTTCTAAAAGAGGTTGCCTGCCAGGGATAATTCTAGAGTTTGTAAGTGGAGGAGGTGGGATTAGGACCTCTATCTCTTATCTTCCATCTGGTCTTTCTGTATACCTCATGCTTACTCTAGGGAGGTGCAAAGGAAGTTTGAGGGTACAGGAAGTAGGGACCAAACTTCTTTAAAAACTTCAGTGTACAGCATATTCTAGCTTGTTCTGTGCTGAGATAATGTGTCCAGATGTAGCAGTATCACCTGCCAAGGTGGCTCAGCAAGAAGCATATTTGGTGCAGTTGAAGAAAACCCTGCAAGGCAAGTCCTTCTTTGACCGTCACCACACCTCGGCCCAGCCTGGACTAAGTCTGGTCCCAGGACCTGGACAGAAAAACATACATACCATGCAGCATCTCAGAGGTGCTGGGAATACTAGGCTTGAGTTTACAGCCTGGCTTCTTTCTCTTTTTTTTTTTTTTTTTTTTGAGACAGAGTTTCACTCTTGTTGCCCAGGCTGGAGTGCCGTGGTGCCATCTCGGCTCACTGCAACCTCCACCTCCCGAGTTCAAGTGATTCTTGTGCCTCATCCTCCTGAGTAGCTGGGATTACAGGCATACGCCACCATGCCCGGCTGATTTTTGTATTTTTAGTAGAGACAAGGTTTCACCATTTTGGCCAGACTGGTATTGAACTCCTGATCTCAAGTGACCCGCCCACCTTGGCCTCCCAAAGTTCTGAGATTACAGGCATGAGCCAGCACACCTGGCCTACAGCCCCAGTTCAGCAATTGTTCACTGAGTATCCAGCATGTGACCAGCACTGTTCTAGGCCATTTTTGGTGATTGGGCGGTGTATGTCATAGCCTTCATCTTCAGGATGCTTCAGGTATACTTGGAAAGACAAGACTGGATCACATAAAATGACTAGATGGCATGCAAGGCATCATGTGGTGTAATGAAGAGCCAGAATCAGTATGGGCTAGAGGCTGCAAAGGGGCTGTCTTGGCCCAGCTGCATGATGTGTTTTTAAAAATGTTGGATTTAAACTCCTCTAGGCAAGGTGGTACTTTGCAGTGTCACAGACCCTACGTGGAGGCTGCTTGGTTTATTTACTTACCTGCTTGGCTGCCTAAGATATTTGAATTTTTAACCCTATTAGGCATGCTATGCTGGTTTACTGTGAGTCACTAGAAAATATTTGTTAAGCACTTATTATTTGCCAGGCATTGTATTGACTGCTGCTTTGGAACTGATCATAACATTTTCCAAAGTTCTTCCACTGGGAAACAGTAATAATAATAGTGGAACACCAACAAATGCTTTGCCTTTTGTATTGACTTTCCTCCTGGACTGCCTTCACATATGCTCTCTCATTGTGTCAACAATACACAATATACCTGCCTAGCAGGTAGGGCTTTCTGTGTTGGGGAAACGTGGTTTCAGAGCTTTTGCAGTTTCTTCAGGTTCACACAGTTAGAAATCTGCTATTATGCTTAGTGCTTTATTATCCCACTTGATGCTCACAACAGCTTTACAGGGTAGGGTTGATGCTAATCCCCATTTTATAGGTAAGGAAATTGTTAGTGCTAGGATCCAAGTTCAGGCCTTTCCCACTCCAGAACACAGCTCCTAACTGTTAAGCTACACTGCCTCACTAGAAGGCCAGAGTTGGAAGACAGCTCAAAAACATCTAGTCCAGACCCCCTGTAGATCAGGACCTGAGGTCCAGAAAGGCTTGTGCTTGTGGCAAAGCTGTGCTGCAGGAGGAGGACTAAACCAGAAGTGGAGGACCTAGGCCTTCTTTTGTCCCTAACTGGTGGCATGGCCTTGCCAGCTTCTCTGGACTTCAGTTCCCTTATTTATATAATGAAAGGGCTTGGCCTGATTTTACGCTGAGAACAATGCTGTGCTGTTATGGTCGGTATTGAAGGAGTTCACAGCCTGAGGTTTTAGTCATAACCCAGGACTCCTCCCAGCACACCACACTCTCTCCCTACCCAAGGTCCATCTCCTTGTGTAGCCACCGTTTTCTGAAGTTTAATTCTGAAGTTCATCTGTATTTTCCATCTCAGTTTCTGTTTCCTCTCATTTCCAAAAACTGAGGCAAGTGGTTTGTAAACACTGACTTTCTGTAAATTCATCTCCTCAGTCATTGTAGTTAGGGATTTGGAAAGTTCTAGGCAATTTCTTTTAAAGGCATTTAGTTAGGTCTGGAAGCACCCTGGAGGGAGTTTTCCTGTAGAATTCTATGGACACAGCTATGTGGCAGGCAGTGTGCTGCAAACTGGGGGAAGAGTAGATGGGGGAATAGACTCAGGCTTCTTGAGTCCTTGCCCTCAGGTTGTCAACTTTCCTGGAGCTGTGGGTCGACCTGGCCACCTGTTAACATCATCTGGAGTTTATAAATGACCTGGGGTGTGCATTCACAGCCAGAGTTGAGAACCACTGTTTCTCGGACTTTATCTGATCTAGAGCCTACGTCAGGCTTGAACCCACCCCCAGGATCTTGTGTGAAGACAGATTCTGATTGGGTGGGTCTAAGCTGGAGAGGTGCTTCCCCATTACTACAGGCTCCCAGGGATACTGCCGCTGCTGGTGTGCACATCACACCTATGGTAGCCAGGGAAGAGACTGCACATAGAGAATTGTAAATCAGTAGGATCATGAAGGTATGTATAAAAGACTGGGATCACAGATGAGGCTGCAATTAAATTTCCCTGAGGTAAGAGGATTAGGAAAGCCACATAGAAGAGTGATTATCTTAGCTGGGCCTTGAAGGTTGAGTAGAAGTTTGCCAGCTGGACAAGGAAGAGGAAATAATAGCACAAGCAAACATACAGACTCAGA